TCATTTGCATATTGATTTAGCTTATCGAATATGAATATGAACACCACTGTAATAAATTATACTTGGGATGATATTCGTGGCTGAAACGAAACAGGTGATGTCTGATGATTACTCTAAGATTGCATTTATGTGTGCTGATCGCTCTATCTGTCTACATGCTAAATATGGAAGTCATTATAAAGTGAGGATTCCTAGGTAAGCTACCTCTTACTAATTGCATGTATCTTTTTTGTTGAATGAATTCATATAATCATATTTTGGTACTTTCGGCACTATTGGCATGGTACATGAAAAGAAACAAGTCTTAATGCGAGGGAATAATATTAAATATAATCAAATATCAATTACATTGCTGACTTATGGTTTCTAACGGGCAAAGTCAGCTGGAGTTTCCATTCTGTTAACTACTTAGCTGTGGTGCAAAAATTTGGGTTTTTGCCGATTTGCATTATGTTAATGTTGTTCGACCTTTTATTGACAAATTCACATCCGCTAGCTCTCTCCCGAGAAAAGAAGTTGGAGGAACTTTCACATTAATTAAGCCTTCATCTTTTTATCACCATTTGAAGTTCTATGAAGGAACATCACCTGAATGTCTCATTTTCTTTCATTATCATTTTAACTACACATGTGAAAACAAATTGCAGTTACTTGATCATTGAGTTTCCATTGGCTTTCATATGTTAATATGTTTATTATTGGATATAGCTAAACTTTATTGCGTCTTATGAATAGGATGGGAAGGGATATGGCATAAGATTCATGGTCTTGCGATTTTCTCTGTGCTGCCTCCTTAACAGATCTTTACAGAATAAATCTATCGCAGGTTTGCCCTGATTACCCCTAATTGATATGTGGTTGACAGGCTGCCTTGCTTCATTGTAATTTCAGTGTCAATTATTACTGTAGCTGGTGTTTAAAATGTACTTTCGCATTTGCCATTATCTGTAATGAGGAGAATCCCTTATATGGATTGCATTTCCTACCATCAATATCACCCAAACAACTGGTGACCATAGATTGCAAAGTTTCTCTCAGAGACTGGGTTTATGGTCTAGACTCGAATAAGATGATTAATTACAGAGGCATGAAAGATTAATAGATGAAATGGATGTATGGTAGGACCACATTTGAACTACATTTACTTTTTCTGTCAATGCATTTTTTTTTTTTGGTTTGTTTTGGTATTTGTTTTTCACCCTTAGCTTAGTATCTACTAGACTGCTTGTTGAATAATTAGCCACACAAGCTTCTTCCAATGATTGGTTCATGGTTCCTTCTTTAAAAATAATCGCATGTATACCTGACCATATCACTTTACTTATGCTTTATAGTAAGTTATTTTATTTAGGAATTTTACGAGGCAGGGCTTGTGTGCCACTTTTCAGAGCTTCATGTAAACCATTTAGAGTGGAAGTTAGGGTATTGCTTAAGTTTGTGGATGAAGAATGCTTGAGCACAATGAGTATATGACCAAGTGACCATTACATTCCCTAAATGATGAAATTATTTTTGTAATTGGAAAGCTGATGATGCTTTAGAAAAACAATCTATCTAGTATAGAAAGGTTAGCTTTTCTTGTCTAGCTGATCTACCTATCCTGCTCTTAAGCAGAGTTGTGTATAACTGTATATGTTGAATGAATACTAACATTCAATACCAGAAAGTTCATATACTTGCGTACTGGATTCTTGTATTTGATATATATACTCCCTACATTCCAATTTAGTATGCCTACTTATCAAAGTACATATTGTTAGGAGGTGTTTGATTATCAATTATTCTTTCTAGTATAAAACTAGATGTGATGGGAGATAGTGGGGTATAAATTTATTCGAAGTATGTGACAAGAGAGATAACTGGTGGGCCAAGGGTAGAGGGGAGAAGTACTACAATAATTGTAGGCCCTTGCCAAAGATAGGAATAGGTTTGGGATGGACTTAAAAGGAAAGTAGGAAAACTAAATTGGAACGTTGGGAGTATGTCTTACACTTCCTTTTCTATGAGGGGAAAAAAACTGCGAAAATAGAAAACACTTATAAATACGAGTAATAAAAAAAAAGTTAATACAAATAATACTCCGTATTTTAACATTTTATAATTCTATATCTTTGTAGCAAATACATGGGTTTACATTCTGATTGAACTTTAATACCTCCTCTTTTTTTATTTAGATGCATCACCTATATAATTGCGGACTTCTAGGCAATTTTTGGAGTAAAGAGAGAACGAGAGAAAAACTTCTATTTTTAAAAAGTGATGCATTTAAGTTTAAAACTTCTATATTTAAAACACGAGTACTAAATGCAGTACAAAATAACCTAAATGCAAGAATTTATTAATAATATTGAAATAACAAAAGACTAAGATACCGTTAATCAATTTTTAGATTCCAATATCCCATTTTAACTTGAACGTAAAATTCAACCTAAATTTTTTTTCCATTCTACTGTTCTACCTCTGCTAATGCCACAATATTTTGCTAATCCCACAAATTTGTGCTAATTTCACGAAATTCGCATTCATCTTCCCTCTGATCTAAGCTAGGTTTATGTGTATTATTTACCCCCGGGAAATAAATCCGGGGGGTATTGTTTACCCCTGGAAATCATATCTAGGGGTATTGTTTACCCCCGGAAATTATATCCGGGGGATATTGTTTACCCCCAGAAATCTAAACCGGTAGGTATTGTTGACCCCCGAAAATCAAAACCGGTAGGTATTGTCGACCCTCGGAAACACAACCCGGCACCCTGTTACATGCTCCCAAATAAAATGTTCTGTACAAGATGGAACTTTTATCTTGTTTGATTGTTCATCTATAAATTAGATTTTGCGAGAAAAAAGATTACAGCACATAATTTTCATACCTCAAAAAATTGTTGTAGTGCACTTCATTATTGTCCATGAATTTGTATAGTATTGGATATTAAATAGGATGAAAGGTTGAATACGTTAGAATATGGTTGTAAAAATTAAACGGCAGGGATGATTATATAGTTAGGAGTGAAAAAGGATTAAATTAAAACAAGGGCAAAATTGGAATATAAGCTTTTTTAAAAAATTACCTTATTCTGCATTCAGGTAAAATTGTCCCTGCATTTAGTACCCCTTTTAGAAAGTGATGCATCTAATAAAAAACGGTGGCAGTAATATATCTTTAGTCTGGAACCCATTCCGAAATTTAAATTCAATTCAGGTATCATGATGGAATATCAGTTTGAATTTTGGATACTTTTAAACAACTCTGGCAGTTATAGGGAACTTGGGCAGATCTTGTATTTTTCAAGTTTATTGTTTAGTAGATTACCCTGAAGAAGATTGACGTTTTGCAATCTTTGGCATTCTTATAACCACCAAGTTTTGTTTTATCTTTCTGTATACTTTTCTCCTGCAATAATCTTCATGTGGATTGGTGTTGGCTTCTTGGTCTTAATATTTTTCTTTGTTATCTATTAAAAAAAAAACCTCAAGTTACATCGGGCTCTCACTTTATGTGTTTAGTAAGTTTATTGTATGTAGAGGATATGACTGTCCAGGCCATGCTTTTATTAAAAACAAATCTGTAATTTTTTTTTCTTTGTTGGGTAATGAAATTGCTCTTTTTTGTCCGATTGAGATAAAATTTCGGCTTATTTTTTCGCAATTCCAATTTAAATTAAAGAATATTCTTTACTCTCCTGAGATTATTTCTCAATTTTGTATGTTTATGTATCCAAGTATACCTCTCTTTGGTTTTTGAAATGAGCGGAGGTAGAACTGGACTTGTTATCCTGGTTAGAGCACTAGCAACTGGAGTATTGATTTGAATTTTGTACCTGGAAATGGATGCTTGCTAATTTAAAAAGTATATACGATGATTACAAGTTCTTAACTAAAGAAGAACTTGAGAGACTTAACCTGACCAATTTAATCGGAACTAACCTTCTCAGAGCTTATATGCATGGGCACTTCATTGATTATCGGCTATATAAGAAGGTAGATGGTCTAATATGTTGCCATTGTATTCTGATTTTGGCTTTGTTGGGCTCTATCGTTCTACCTGTTCATTATGCATAAGCCTTACATGTGCTGATGTGAACTCAAAATGCCTTGTTTGATGTATGCAAATCTGTTGGAGTTCCTGATTAGAATTTGTGGGATTTCCTTTCATGTGGGATAAAAGCAAAGGACATAGCCTTGTTGTAATTCATATTATATTTTTACATCAGGCTACATACTTGTTTCATACATCATAAATTCCACGAGCATCAATTTTTTGTTCTAAAATAATATTTTCCAAAACTCTTGTATTACCAAGATAAACTGGGAACTTTTGATGTGTATAATATGTTGCGAAGCATGCCAAGTAACCTACATGCAAGATGTAGCTTTTGTGAAACTGCTACCATTGTAGCGATCGTCTGATCACTTTTTTTCTATATTTGGAAGGACATATGTGGTTCACCTATGTGAAATTAGTAGTCTGGAACTGTCTTGAAGTTAAATACGTATGACAAGGAGGTGCACTAGCACATGGTCACTTGTAGATTTGTTTTTTTGTTTTTTTTTTTGTGTGTGTGTGGGGGGGGGGGGGGGGGGGGGTTCTGCCAAGTTTTGCAGTAGCCCAAGTGAATAGTCATGTGTCTTAAGCATGACAAGATTTTTGTGCAACAATTCTGTGAGAGTAAGAGGAACGTACGGCGATTGATTAACTAAGCTGTCACCTGTGTTGTATTTTTGCATGCATTGTTAATGTTGCTGCTAATTGGGGGAATCAAGCTTATTGTCTTTCATTGATTTTCTGCTGTTTCTCCCCCTATTTACGGAATAATATTTTCTTTTTAACAAAAAGCTATGTGTATATCTGAACCTGTTTACCGTATTATAGACATTGGCTTTATATTTGGATTGTGCTGGCTGTGGAATAGATTTTGGATACCCCTTGTTTTATGGTCAACTGATTGGGGCTGAACTGAACTGAATAGAGTTGAAATGAATTGTTTATGAAAGATGGAAATTAGGACCTGAGCTGAACTGAACTGTACTGAAATTAAGCTGAACAAAACAGGCCCTAATTTTAATTTCATTGCTATATTGATGTAATATTGCCTTATAGTTATTTGATATCATTTGTTCTCTTGTGGCTATTGTCTTTCACAGATTAAGAGGAAGCTGCCAAAGGTTAACCGTCATCTCGTACGTACTCTTCTCGAGGATGAAGAAGAAGCAGCTGAAAATGATGCTGATAAAAAGAAATCCTCAAAGAAAACGAAGGGATTGAACAGTGACATACTGAACGATGATAGATTTGCGGAGTTGTTTGAGAGGTCGAGGAAGGGGTAGAGGAGGAGGGGGTGGAGGGGGTAGAGGAAGAGGTCGACATTGAGGTTATTGAGTTTTAACTCGTTAAGGTGGAAAATTTTGTTTCTTTCTTCTGCCATGCAATTTCTGACAGTATTTTTTATTTCATTGTGTCTTTAATAATATTATAGTGTTTTCTTCAAATGAAAAAAAATATGCGAGTAGATAGAATCTATAACCAGTTTTTTTTTTCTTTTTAATCTGTAATCTAATTTGTTTTATTTATTTTAATTTTAATACTTAATATTTTGATTAGGTATGCCAAAATAGCTCCTCCACTGGTTTTTAGTAATACATATTGATGAGCATCTTTAGATAAGAATTTTGACAAATTTGCTTGCATCATAGGCTTAAGCATGCTTTCGCACTGAAACACCTAGCATGCTGTTGTTATTGCAGCTAGGGGGGTTTTACATATGGACATACACTTTTCACTTGGTAAAGAGTTCATCCATTAAGTTTAAGGCACTAAGAGCCGCAAAAGAGGAGGCTGCAAGGGATTCAAACGACGACTTAGAAGCTGATGTAAAAGCCCATCTTCTCAACGGAGAGAGTGAAGGGTATGATGCAGAAAGCCATCCTGTAAGTTCATTCTTTTCTTCTGTATATTATGTTTACAGAATATAATAATAGTACTGTAACTTATCTGACCTGTATATATATCTCAGGTATCACCTAAGAAGGAAAGCGAGCCCCTTTGGAGGAAGATAATCGAGTTTCTACACCTAATATTGGAGGAACTAATGGCACCTCCTAGCGCTGGTGCAGTGAGTCTCTCTTCTATCTATAAACATAAACTTTTAGAGACTTTGTATGGTGAAATAGCAATGTATGTAGCACCTTGCATTAATCTGCTTGAAATGCTACTACTAAATGTTTAAGACTACTTTCTTTTCGATCCTATATGCCATGAACTTTCAATATTTAGCTGACAATAGTCCTAGGATTGGTTTGTACATCCAAAGTCCAGACAGGCCTAACAATAACCATTGCAATAACAACTACGGAGTAAAATATTTATAATGGTACATCCAAAGTCCAGACAGCCCAGGAGTTAGGCAAAGGACGTGGCTTTTCATGTAGTCCTTCGACTAGCTTATGCAATTTTATGCTTTTGATCTAGATTATTGGACTCATTTTTGGAGCTACTACTTGGTTGAGGGGCCTTGTTATAGGGGATGGAGCTCCACTTCAAGTGATACAAGATTCCCTCAAATTGCTTGGGTATGTCTTGGTGAAATTTTCAACTCTGTTTTTTTTCAGCTTATTAAATTCAGTTACAACAAAAATAAGTTTTGTTCATCAAAAGCAAGAGCAGTTCAGAAAAAATGAGTTCAATTTTACAGAAGAAATTTACATTGAAGAGAACAAAGCCTATATACAAAATAACATCTACTAAACTATAACATACCTTATAAATATTCTTGCAGGGATGGAACAATACCTTCTATCACCCTTATACTAGGTGGAAACCTAATACAAGGTAAATTAATATCAGAAGATTTGAGTTAACAGTCCATTTAAACAGGATTACGGTCTCTGACTAATTACTTGGTTTAAACAGGATTAAGATCATCAAAAGTAAAGCCAATTGTGATAATTGGGACTCTATTTGTCAAATACTTGCTGCTTCCTGTGATTGGAATTGGAGTAGTAAAAGCTGCTGATACTTTTGGCTTCCTCCCACCAAACCCTTTATATCGCTTCGTGTTGATGCTTCAGTTCACATTGCCTCCGGCCATGAGCATCGATTAGTCATCAACTAATTCCTAAGCTTTAACATCTTGCTTCATAGTAAGTCTAGTTCAGAGTTCAACTAAATTTCCCAATCTGTTTTGGTTGGTTGTTGCAGGTACCATGGCACAATTATATGATGTGGGACAAGAAGAGTGCTCAGTTATATTTCTTTGGACATATCTTTTTGCAGCACCTGCACTTACTCTCTGGTCCACAGTATTTATGTGGATTCTATCCTGAACAAAGAATTATAAGGGCAAGCAAGCAAAATATTATGACTATCCATCAGTCAGAATTATACATTTGTCCTGAAAAAAAAAATTTGTCACAGATGGTCCATGCAGTCAAGTTATCAGCAACTGGAATTTTCTAAGTGACAAGGAATTCGAAATGGTGCATATTATGATATTACTCTACATCGCGGTTTAATATCAGGATAGCCCTGGACTTTCGGCTCTAGTATCAGTGCAAGCTTTTGATACAAAAACGCGGCGGCTATATATGTAATGAAGAACAATTTTGTCAAGTCCTATGTGACTCTCTGTAATCACACCTGTATCATTCTTTGTAGCCTTCTCTTTTAGAGGGGAAGGGTTGATTTATTGAAGTCATGTATCATTTACATAGATAATACTTCATATTGTAAAATTGAAGGCCACATTTGGCTCATATATATTTATATTATATACTAGGAATTGGTGAAAATATTCTCTCCACACACCCGATCATTAAAACTAATCAATTGCACAACAATATACACTCACCTAATTGTTTACGTTACAATTAAAAATAACAATCAAATACTATTTTCAAACAACGCATCAAGACAAATCTAAATCGGATTGGATTTTATAGTTTTAATGATATTCAGACAAATTGTATATGTGTATTATTGAGGAACGGGTTGGATCGAATGGAGTACTCCACATGCATGTTCAAGTACTCCCTCCATTTCATAATAAGACTTAATAATAGCAAGAAATAAACACAAAAAACAAGTACTTTGAAGTAGTGGACTGGTGGAATATTATATGGTCATCCTTTTATTAGATCTTCTTATTTCAGTCAAAAGAAATGTATACTAACGCATAATAGATCAATAGTACACATGTGCAATTTGTCTAAATATGTGATATGTAGCCAATTGGATCACACACTATATATTTATTTTTTTTGTCTAAAACAAGTGTACTCCTACTATGGTAGATCGAATTATTGGCTATGGGACAAAGATGCGATTTAAATTGCCTCATTATTTTATTTTTCCGCGAAGGGTATTTAACTTATATTTATACTATCTCCATTTCTTATTATTTGTGAGATAGAAGTATAAAATATTTCTTTTCGCAAAAACAAAAAGACACAGAGGTAGTATACTAGTACGTGTTATTATTCCTAGGGTCTTACCAAAACTCATTTTATTTTGTTGTTTTTGCAGTTTTCTAATGATCAACAAAAAAATAAAAGATTATGCTCATGGCTAAATTTATGAATATCGGTTAGACTTTAGAGAGACTCTAGATGTCAGTTTGTATATGCATATCTTTGTTTTGTGACAAAATTCTTCATTTACCCATTTAATTAAAGTATTGATCGAATTGGATTACTGAACTTCTTGCAAACTACAATTCATTCATTCTACAAACATAGATAAAGTTTGAAGTTTTGTAGGACTTGAGAAAAAAATAGAAAGGAAATACAAGGGCAGAAGCTAGAAGAAGATAGGTTTCTTGTCACTCTTTGAAGTGTAACCAATGCCTATTTTGCAAGTGTCAATAATCAGTGGATTATGAGCCTTTTTGTATGCAGATGCTAGGAGGCCCTTGAATAAGGTAAGTCCCGCGAATATATTTTATGTACTCGTACATATTTATTTGTTTTTCATACAGATTGTGGATCGGAATTCTTTCCAGTAATTAAAATGTCCTATCAGGGGAAGGCGATATAGGATAAATTACATACATATCTAGATTCATTTTAGTGTACTTTATCGCCTAATTTTGGAGGAATATAACGTACAAGAAACGAATCAACAAAACAAATGTTGAAATGCAGGTAAATTACGTGGTTTTCACTCCAGCACTCATGTTTGCAAGTCTTGTCAAGACTGTAATGTTGACATCGAGTTGGGTGGCTTGCCCGAGAGCCAATCCTGGAAGTTGTTTAGAAACCTAGCATTTAAAGAGGGACAAGAGGAAAGGGATCCACATTTGACAATCGTAGGCAAAGAGATAGTCAAGAAGCGTGCCAATGTTCCTCTCGCAATAAAGACTTGCGGGTCTTCTTTATTCTTAGGATACTCTGCAAGAATGAGAGTCTTTTAGGGACGCAAAACTTAGAATGATGGAACAACAGGAAAATAGTGTCATTTCAACTTTGAAGCTAAGTTACATTCACCTAACACCACAATTACAACAGTGCTTTGCTTATTGTACATTGTTTCCAAAGGATTATGAAAAATAAAATACTGCTGGATGGCACAAGGGTTCATTGAGCCGATGGATGGAAGTCTTCAAAATCCCAATGGATGAAAGACTCAAGCAAATCACCCAACAAGATATGAAGAGATCACAGAATATAATAATTTTTTTTATAGATTGAAGAGGGGCAGTGGCAGAGTTGGTTTTTAAAATTTAACCACAATTCTCCTGAACCTCATCATACTCGGTTTCTAGCAGAACGCGACTAACATTGGAAGCACCATGCTGAAACAAAAATATGGCGAACAGCCTAATATGACATTAGGAATTTAGTTATGGAGATATCATTGAGTATCTGCTTAAAATTAAGGCATATTCATTTCATTAAGAGAAGGTTCATTATGTTTCAGACTATCAATAGCTATTCGCTAAAAGAATAACTCAGCAAGGAATTCACAAGACACTCCATTTATGTTGCAATCCTTCACAAATTCTTGCAATACACCATGCGGCACTCATCGGATAACCTGAGACTGCAAATTTTATGCAGAAAATTGACAATTATTTCAAATTGATGACATAAGAGTGCATTAAAACAAGCAAACAACTAATAGAGCATGCCCATTTTGCTTAGTCGAAAAATGGGAGTATTTATATATTATTATACATTTAATTTAGTCACAAGTAGAGATAGGACTCACTGCACCTAACAATCTTGCATGAAGAGAGAGGGCTCTAATTTATTTTTTCTTAAATAAAAAATAGTTTAAACAACTAGAACCCTAAATTACTTAAAAAGTTTGAATCATAGCATATATACAATGGAAATCTTATAAAGACCATAAAATTAGTAAAAATAATAGTGTACTATTCATATACAAAGTATTATTAAATATACCCAAGACATTCTCACCCTCCCTGATCCATTGGGCTTTCACAAATTATTAATCACTGAGGTTGGCAAGTCTAATTCATGAAAGACAACTTGACACCAAAACCTACTCATTTGCACATAAAATTTACATTGTACTAGAAGGAAAATGAAGTAATATACAGCAACCCTTCACTACTATATGAGTTTATCGATGTCTCCACTAACTTTTATGACAGTTCCTGGATGCCTCAATAACTCCCAAAGTCCAACTTATAATAAACCTTATTAAGGATTTAAGAACTAATCCTAAGTAGAATTGTATAGCATACATAATATATAAGAGAGAAGGTTTTCAATAATAGTTTAGAACTAGATTAGTACTCGAGCGTTGCACGGTGGTGATAAGCAATTTTTTTCATATTTCTTTTATATCTTTTGTTGTTGATAACTTTTTAACATGACTTAGTTCGCTTTTTATTTTGTAAAAATAAAGTTTGTTACTCTATAAATATTAAAAAAAAATTAAAAAAAAAAACATGTATATCATTCTTTATATATTTTTTTAATGATTAAAATTTAATGCTACATCATAATATTTACTATGTTATTGAAAATATACTAAAATTTACTAAACTGATGGTTAGAAAAAATATACTATGTATAAAATATTGCATTATCTAATGAGCTCATACATTTAGAGTGGAAGCACAACAATATTGATGTCAAAGTCAGGTTCGGATTTTTAGTTTCATACCTACTTGGTTCTAGTTTCTAGCAAATAAAATGATAAGAAAAAAAATAAAATAAAAATGATGACATCATATGTAAATTTGGAGGGAAATTTTTTAATGAGAGCTTGACACATAAGACATTTAGGAATTGATGACATCAACATGTTTTGTTTTAGTAATAGTTAATGGATGTTAAGCATCGATAAGGAGGTAAGCAAGTGAAGATAGAACTGCAAAAGAAAGGATTAAGTGGAATTTAAATATAGGTTCAGAAAGGAAGAGTGAGCACCAGGCACCATTAGAGATTACCATTAGAGATTGAAGGTAAAGGAGAGAAAGGGGTTGGTAAAGGAAGCAGAGGGAAAAAAAAGGGAGCAAACTCACAAACCAATATCATTAATATAGAACTTGGAACCTCATCTGCTTACAAGTAAAAGCAATAAACTAAGGAAAAAAAAATTATGCAAACTTTAGAACAGTATCCGTGTTGCAAATTTGCAATTAACTCTATTATTCATAGTATTTAAACACCGGTAGATAGCTTCCCAATTAATCGGACAACATAAGTAACTTCAGGAAAAACTTACTTGATATGTAGTCTTCAACGTACTCATCATCAACCTTTCCATGAGCCATAGCACCAACCTGAACGAGCAAAGGATTAGAAGACACCTAAGTTTTGACTCATATAAATGAATTAATAGACAAAGTTCAGTCCCTTCTGATACATACCACAAACACAAAATTGGAATCATCTTTAACAGCATCCACATATTTCTGAATGTCAACCAATTTTTCTGAGCTAAATGAAAAGCCTGAAATATGAACAGCCAAATGTCACTGACTATGGAGGGGGGAATAGAGAGATAAAAGTGATCTGAACTCTGAAATTTATTAGACAGGATTACTAGTTCAGAGTAAAGCTCACCTATCTTACGAGAATTAAGAGGTAGATACTGAGTTACAGGATTTTTAACCACACGAAAAAGTTTATCTCGTTTGCCAGCAGCAGATATGCTCAGCTTTTGTAACAGTTGCACTGCAATGATAAATGAGAGAGGGTGTTAAGGAGTAACCACACGTCATGCCTTCAGTAGCAAATCACGTAATTAGAGTGACGCATAGAAGTTGATAGAAAGAAGATGCATGACAAAATAATTATAACTCACACATAATGCCAGCAAAACGCTTATATGTTCTTGGAATACGCACGTGAGGTTTAACCTCAAAAAGTACACCTTTCTCAGTTTTAACATACACAGATTGAATCCTCCCAGCCTTATTCAAGGGGCTATCCAAAATCATCAGAAGAGCCTGAAATATCATTCATAATCACAACTACTTCAGAAAAACGGCCAGTTACACAAGACAATAATAGCATACATCTTTGAAACCTTCTGAAAATGTCAACAGAAGCACAAATATAATAAATAGAATGAAGTGTATCGTAACATAAAAACTTGTAATATAAACCTGATGAACAATGTCTGGCCTGTAATCTGCAGGATTCTTTTTGTGCTTCATCAAAAAATTGGCATGGTCCTCAGAATTCAAAATTTGGTAGGTCTGCAATTACATATGAATATGACATAAGAATTCAGTTAACAACGGCAGCAAAATTCCCGTTCATCTATTAATACCCCTCCCAAACACCATCAACACAATTATCTAGGCCAACCCTCTAATTAATCTTTGCAACATATCCAATCCAATCCAATCCAAACAACACACAACACAAACAAATAAACATAATGGAAAACAATAGAGCTTAAAGATTGTTGATTGACATACCTTCCCTACTTTGGCAACCTCAAGGGAAGCCCTTTCGAGCACGAAAACCGCCCCAGGATGGCTCATCTGCTTCGTAATAGTAACCGGAATGCCGGGGATATCATCGGCCAAATCTTCTGCTACCTTATCATCTTCAGCTGTTTCCTCAATAGTGGCAGCAGCTGGTACATCCTCTTGTACCATTTCTACTTGCTCATCCTCCTCTTTATCATATTTTTCCTCTCTCTTCTTCCTTTTCTTACCAGCTTTTACTCCCAATGGCCTCGGCATTTTCTACATAAATCAATTCCTTTACATTTCAAGCTTATATAATTCTAGCAACTTTAAACTACAAAAATCTGAACTTTTCAAAAATGGGTCCAATTGGGAAAAGGGTAATTAAGAAGGGGAGAAATATAGAAAAATAATTAGATTATACAGTGCTAATTGAGCAATGATAGTACTCAAATAAAAATTTTTAAAAAAATGCAGAGAAGAACAAATGTTTGAATACAAAAGAGTTCAATTTCAGTAATAAAAGTATGAGAGAGAGAAAGGTGTACCGTAGTCAACAGCGACTGTGCAGAATCAAGGAAACCCCAGAAGAAGGAAAATTAACAATTTTGAACAAAGTTTAGGGTTTATGGAGAAATGAGGGCAAATAATAAGAAATGGTGGATAAAATAAAAATGGGGGTTTAGCTAGGGTTTATTTGGAGAATTGATTAAAGGCCCGAATTTTGGTCCATGCTTTTGGAGGACGACATGGGTTTTAGGCGAAACCTCTTATTGATTTTTTTTTCGGTTTAAGATTAATTCTGGTAACATAAGCGAACTAAACCATGTTATACCCTTATACGGTTGGTTTTCTTTTAGTCATGTTATACAATTTGGTTTGGTTTGTAATATGTCTAACCAATTTTTATGTTTTCTACTCTCTATATTAGATCTAAAAGGTAACCGTCTCATAAAAAAGTTAAAATAAAAACACTTTTGACGATGATAAGGGCAGGATCCAGGATTTGATTAATAGATTGTCCCATCATCGTCCATCGACCGCATAAAGTATCAAAAAATAGTCAAAGCTTGTATAATGAACAAAAAAAAATACATAAAAAAGTTCATTTCATAAAGGAGGATCATTTTGTGGAGGAGCAGGATTTAGAGCAGGCACTTTTTTAGTAAAAAAACTTGAAATATCTCGAGTTGTTTTTCTTTTCATTCTGAAATTGGAGTTAAAAGTTGAATTAGATAAATCATACAAGAAGGGTTCTCTCAAACTTTTAAAAAGCTCGTAGTTGGACCTTCAACCTAGTAATACTCAAACTCTAAAACAAGACTTTTCTCTTCATATCTCAAACCACAATGCTTCTCTTAGCATATACTTCCTTCTCATTCGCCACAATATTTTTCACATACCTATAAACATATTCTTGCTCAACATAGTAGACTAATTTGTGCTTATTGTTGTACAAAAAGGAATTTTCTAAAGTAATGGGCAAAAACCGATTACAACCACGTAACATAATTTCCCATTATAGGCAACTCAAACAATGCAACCAATACAATTTCTTGATTGCAGTCACTAGCTTCAACTAACACTAGTGCACTGATTAATAAAATTCATACATATAATTCTATTCAACAACAGAATATTTACTCATTAAATACCAATTATTTAAGAGACTTGATAACAAATTCACATTAACAAAGTACATTTAACGAAATTCGAACATGAATTAATTCTGCACCTTCAACACCACAAATTGAAAAAATAATAATAATAAATAAAACCCTAATTTTCTCTTCACCATACTTCATCATCTCAACAATTTCATGTATTCTCTAAAGTTTTTAACTGTACCCGCATTAAAAAAATAAAAAAAAATAAAAAAAATAAATCATAGTTTCGTCCTAGCAATAATTAAAGGGTTCTGCAACACATTAGCAACCAAATTTGACTCAAATTATTCTCGCTTACGAATATGAATTTCAAAGTTATAACCTTAGAAGAAAAAAAATTATAAGCAGCAGTTGAACAATTAATTCACCTCAAAAGAACGAACCCTAAATTGAATTACTTTAACAATCAACCCTAGAATCCTAGATTGTAAAAGGATAATCGATGAATAAAACGAAAACCAACATCATACCTGGAAAGACGTTGCAATGGAGAATTGAAAAGTGCTGCAATGGAGAGAAAATGTTGTTCTGTATTTTCTGTGTGTTACCTAACGGCTGCTCAATTGAGTGTAGTAAAGAAGGCCTCAATCGTCAAAGTAGTTTTTGCTATTTAGCTTGGGCCTTGGCCCATGGATTGTTGTATGTTTGTTTAGCCTTATAAATTTTTTGAATTGGGCTCCGAGTCAATAATGGTTAATATAATTACTTCGTTTCTATTTGTTCACTTATCTTAGGCACATATAAAATATTATACACACCGGAGTGAAAGGTGAGGAAAAAATATTAAATAAGCAATAAAAATTAGCTTTGGCCTCTTAGGTGCACCCGAGTGAAAGGTGTTAAGTCCTACACGGCTACACGCTCATATATCATTCTAGTTCATCTCTTAAATATTGTTCCACCATCAAATTTTTTAATTGGTTTCATATAATCCTAAGTTCTTTTTTAATTACAATTGTCGGTGCATATTTTACACCACAAATATCTTAAATTATATATTAGTTTATATTATAAAAAATAAAAAAAAATTGATTTTTAAAAAATTTGTATTGAGACAAATCTAACAAAATCTCACATGACTATAATATAATCTATAGGTCTATATCTCTCTTTTTTTTTTTTTTTTTAAAAAAAATATTATGAATCATACAAAATAGTAAGGAGTGTATATAAACATTACAAACTTTTGGATTTTCTCTCAAAGTTCCTAGCCCGCTAACTTCCGAATGTTGCGATTAAAAAGAACGGAGACAATATTCAATAATTGAAAGTAATCCACTTAAATACATCTAATCTCTATAATTTAATGATTTCAATCATAGCACATTATCTATCTTCCCTTACAAACCCTCACCCCAACCCCGCTGCGTCATTTTAATATCTCTTCCCTTCCCTTCTCTTCTCTCCTCCTTACCCAAGATTTAATATACGAGTAAATTCATTCATTCACTAAAAGTGGTGGTTAATGGAATAAGAAAGAGAGCGTAAATGAGTTGAGTCATGTAGATTATATTCATGTTCAATTAAATTAGGCAAGTGTGAAATTGAGCCAGAACTTCCAATCATACTAAGTGCTCGTTTGGTTCACATGGGAATTAACTTCCTATGGGAATTTATATTTCATGGGAAATTTTTTCCCTTATGATTTTCCTACGAATTAAGCTAAATTGTTTGGTTGACACTATAGGAAATTGCATTTCCTAAAAAATTTCAACTCACCAGGGGGGGAGTTGGTGAGCAATTTCCCATGGGTTGTGGGAATTTGTATTTCCCTTGGAATTGTTATTTCCCATGTTTAGCTTATTTCCCTCCAACCAAGTACACCTTCATTTTAATACTTTATAGGAAATTTCATTTCCAAGGAGATTATCCTCCAACCAAACAACACCTAAATATATGTTCACCCTCATTTAATTTATTAAATTACAGCTCTTTATTAATTTATTTATTAATTCACTTGGAACTTTTCAACTCCACAATTTCTAATCACAGTTTGTCTAAATATTTTGTTATCCGTTTCCGAGATAACAAGGAGAAGGCTACAAATGGAAATCTTTAACCACTTCTCGTTTAGACTCTCAGACTTAGTAAATTACAAAGCGATAGTTTGGGCTCTCAATCTGGGAACAAGGTTCAGACTCTCTAATGTCATAATTGGATCTGATTGTCAAGTCATTGTATCGAGGCTCACGAAGGAGATGAGGCACAATACTGATCTGGACATTGTCCTAAGTGATGCGTTGGTGCAGGGCTCCCATTACAACTGCATCCAATGGTGCCATGTTAGGAGGGAAGGGAACTCCGTCGCCCATAATCTCGCTAATTATATTCCTTTTAATCTTGAGCAAACGTGGGTTAACTGTGTTCCCCCATCTGTATCCCATTATGTAACTATGGACACTCTTGCTATTTGAATAAAATTGCCTTCTGCCTTTCAAAAAAAAAAAAAAAAAACGCATCAAGACAAATCTAAATCGGATTGGATTTTATAGTTTTAATGATATTCAGACAAATTGTATATGTGTATTATTGAGGAACGGGTTGGATCGAATGGAGTACTCCACATGCATGTTCAAGTACTCCCTCCATTTCATAATAAGACTTAATAATAGCATGAAATAAACACAAAAAACAAGTACTTTGAAGTAGTGGACTGGTGGAGTATTATATGATCATCCTTTTATTAGATCTTATTTCAGTCAAAAGAAATGTATACTAACGCATAATAGATCAATAGTACACATGTGCAATTTGTCTAAATATGTGATATGTAGCCAATTGGATCACACACTATATATTTATTTTTTTTGTCTAAAACAGGTGTTCTCCTACTATGGTAGATCGAATTATTGGCTCTGGGACAAAGATGCGATTCAAATTGCCTCATTATTTTATTTTTCCGCGAAGGGTATTTAACTTATATTTATACTATCTCCATTTCTTATTATTTGTGAGATAGAAGTATAAAATATTTCTTTTCGCAAAAACAAAAAGACACAGAGGTAGTATACTAGTACGTGTTATTATTCCTAGGGTCTTACCAAAACTCATTTTATTTTTGTTGTTTTTGCAGTTTTCTAATGATCAACAAAAAAATAAAAGATTATGCTCATGGCTAAATTTATGAATATCGGTTAGACTTTAGAGAGACTCTAGATGTCAGTTTGTATATGCATATCTTTGTTTTGTGACAAAATTCTTCATTTACCCATTTAATTAAAGTATTGATCGAATTGGATTATTGAACTTCTTGCAAACTACAATTCATTCATTCTACAAACATAGATAAAGTTTGAAGTTTTGTAGGACTTGAGAAAAAAATAGAAAGGAAATACAAGGGCAGAAGCTAGAAGAAGATAGGTTTCTTGTCACTCTTTGAAGTGTAACCAATGCCTATTTTGCAAGTGTCAATAACCATTAGAGATTACCATTAGAGATTGAGGGTAAAGGAGAGAAAGGGGTTGGTAAAGGAAGCATAGGGAAAAAAGGGAGCAAACTCACAAACCAATATCATTAATATAGAACTTGGAACCTCATCTGCTTACAAGTAAAAGCAATAAACTAAGGAAAAAAAAATTATGCAAACTTTAGAACAGTATCCGTGTTGCAAATTTGCAATTAACTCTATTATTCATAGTATTTAAACACCGGTAGATAGCTTCCCAAGTAATCGGACAACATAAGTAACTTCAGGAAAAACTTACTTGATATGTAGTCTTCAACGTACTCATCATCAACCTTTCCATGAGCCATAGCACCAACCTGAACGAGCAAAGGATTAGAAGACACCTAAGTTTTGACTCATATAAATGAATTAATAGACAAAGTTCAGTCCCTTCTGATACATACCACAAACACAAAATTGGAATCATCTTTAACAGCATCCACATATTTCTGAATGTCAACCAATTTTTCTGAGCTAAATGAAAAGCCTGAAATATGAACAGCCAAATGTCACTGACTATGGAGGGGGGAATAGAGAGATAAAAGTGATCTGAACTCTGAAATTTATTAGACAGGATTACTAGTTCAGAGTAAAGCTCACCTATCTTACGAGAATTAAGAGGTAGATACTGAGTTACAGGATTTTTAACCACACGAAAAAGTTTATCTCGTTTGCCAGCAGCAGATATGCTCAGCTTTTGTAACAGTTGCACTGCAATGATAAATGAGAGAGGGTGTTAAGGAGTAACCACACGTCATGCCTTCAGTAGCAAATCACGTAATTAGAGTGACGCATAGAAGTTGATAGAAAGAAGATGCATGACAAAATAATTATAACTCACACATAATGCCAGCAAAACGCTTATATGTTCTTGGAATACGCACGTGAGGTTTAACCTCAAAAAGTACACCTTTCTCAGTTTTAACATACACAGATTGAATCCTCCCAGCCTTATTCAAGGGGCTATCCAAAATCATCAGAAGAGCCTGAAATATCATTCATAATCACAACTACTTCAGAAAAACGGCCAGTTACACAAGACAATAATAGCATACATCTTTGAAACCTTCTGAAAATGTCAACAGAAGCACAAATATAATAAATAGAATGAAGTGTATCGTAACATAAAAACTTGTAATATAAACCTGATGAACAATGTCTGGCCTGTAATCTGCAGGATTCTTTTTGTGCTTCATCAAAAAATTGGCATGGTCCTCAGAATTCAAAATTTGGTAGGTCTGCAATTACATATGAATATGACATAAGAATTCAGTTAACAACGGCAGCAAAATTCCCGTTCATCTATTAATACCCCTCCCAAACACCATCAACACAATTATCTAGGCCAACCCTCTAATTAATCTTTGCAACATATCCAATCCAATCCAATCCAAGCAACACACAACACAAACAAATAAACATAATGGAAAACAATAGAGCTTAAAGATTGTTGATTGACATACCTTCCCTACTTTGGCAACCTCAAGGGAAGCCCTTTCGAGCATGAAAACCGCCCCAGGCTGGCTCATCTGCTTCGTAATAGTAACCGGAATGCCGGGGATATCATCGGCCAAATCTTCTGCTACCTTATCATCTTCAGCTGTTTCCTCAATAGTGGCAGCAGCTGGTACATCCTCTTGTACCATTTCTACTTGCTCATCCTCCTATTTATCATATTTTTCCTCTCTCTTCTTCCTTTTCTTACCAGCTTTTACTCCCAATGGCCTCGGCATTTTCTACATAAATCAATTCCTTTACATTTCAAGCTTATATAATTCTAACAACTTTAAACTACAAAAATCTGAACTTTTCAAAAATGGGTCCAATTGGGAAAAGGGTAATTAAGAAGGGGAGAAATATAGAAAAATAATTAGATTATACAGTGCGAATTGAGCAATGATAGTACTCAAATAAAATTTTTTAAAAAAATGCAGAGAAGAACAAATGTTTGAATACAAAAGAGTTCAATTTCAGTAATAAAAGTATGAGAGAGAGAAAGGTGTACCGTAGTCAACAGCGACTGTGCAGAATCAAGGAAACCCCAGAAGAAGGAAAATTAACAATTTTGAACAATGTTTAGGGTTTATGGAGAAATGAGGGCGGATAATAAGAAATGGTGGATAAAATAAAAATGGGGGTTTAGCTAGGGTTTATTTGGAGAATTGATTAAAGGCCCGAATTTTGGTCCATGCTTTTGGAGGACGACATGGGTTTTAGGCGAAACCTCTTATTGATTTTTTTTTCGGTTTAAGATTAATTCTGGTAACATAAGCGAACTAAACCATGTTATACCCTTATACGGTTGGTTTTCTTTTAGTCATGTTATACAATTTGGTTTGGTTTGTAATATGTCTAACCAATTTTTATGTTTTCTACTCTCTATATTAGATCTAAAAGGTAACCGTCTCATAAAAAAGTTAAAATAAAAACACTTTTGACGATGATAAGGGCAGGATCCAGGATTTGATTAATAGATTGTCCCATCATCGTCCATCGACCGCATAAAGTATCAAAAAATAGTCAAAGCTTGTATAATGAACAAAAAAAAATACATAAAAAAGTTCATTTCATAAAGGAGGATCATTTTGTGGAGGAGCAGGATTTAGAGCAGGCACTTTTTTAGTAAAAAAAACTTGAAATATCTCGAGTTGTTTTTCTTTTCATTCTGAAATTGGAGTTAAAAGTTGAATTAGATAAATCATACAAGAAGGGTTCTCTCAAGGTTATTAAAACTAATAATATCATTAAAAGAATGCCCATTAACCTCAATTTTAGTCCACCCTTCAACCCCAAAATAGTTTAAGTTTCTTTGCAAAATCAGATCATGTTGAAAGTTTGAAACTGAATACAAGTTTACCGATTGAATAGAAGCTGAGAGTCCAAATGAAGGGACAATGACTCTGTTTTTTCTTGGAATGTTGTAATTATAATGATAAAATGATTAATGAAGAAAATTGTGTAAAATATAAACAGTGGACAGCCAAAGCAGAGAAGTGCACCATGAATCTTATTACAAAATCATTTTTTGCTATTAGGGGCTTTTTCCTCTTTTTGTGAGAATACTACAACAAAAAACAATCAATTATCACATAATCACATTAATGATTTATGAGCTGAAACACATTTCCACAATATAAAATCAAGAAATTTCACCCCAAAAAAAAAAAAAAAAAAAAAAAAACACAACTAAGGGAGGTCTTGAGGAGAATATAGCCTATGGTCCTATACCAACCTGAAAAAGAGATAGAGAAAACAGGTCTAGATAAACAACAAACATCATCCAATTGCATCAAGGAACTAAGCAAATCACCACCCTCATTAAACTCAAACTGACAGTCATAACAAGCAAAGTGTGGACCAACTTAAAAAGACCACTTTCACAAGCAACTTTTACCACTTCCCAACAGAAAGTTGTCCAAATTGCTAGCATAAGCCTGTTATTAGGAATAAATCAGACTAAAATAGAACACAGGCACATCTGGTCTACAAGTAAAATGGCTAGCCAACAATAGTAGTGACATGAAAATAGTATAAAGATCAGTCAATTAAACAACCACCCTAAAATAGGTCAATTTGGGCGAGCAAATTACCGCCCAAACATCAATATACCAAAAATACAAATCTCATTAGAAAACCCGATGCATCAACCCAATTGTAAAAAGCTAATCATTATTGTAGTCTTGTAGAGCTATAGACCCGTAGTTGGCTAGTTGCTAAATCAATCACCTTCAACAATTCCACAACAACCATTGAATAGACGAATTCGAGTAAGCATATTACCACTCAAACATCAATTTATCAAAAGATGAAGCTCATAATCAAACCTATTGCATCAACTAAAACTAACCTAAAACGGCCAATTTAACCCCGTTCAACACACCACATTATGTTCAAGTGTTCAAGTAAAATACAAAAAACATAAAACTCACCAAAAGTAAAATACAGAAGACCTCCAATGGCGGAGAGCACGAGGTTCAAGTGTTCAACCTACAACAAAAAAATAAACAGAAAATGTAACAAGAAATTAAACAGAAAATAAACAACAAGTTAAACAAAACGTCAAAACCCACATCAACAATTCAACATACAACAAAAAATATACAGAAAATTAAACAAAAAAAATAAAACGAACCCCGTTCAAACAATATGACATTTACATTTGTTGATTTAAAATTGAAAAACGAAAAACTCACCAAAAATTAAAAACTAAGGACCTTCAATGGCGGAGAGCACAAGGTTGAATGGAGCTTCAAGCCTTCAACGACCAATTTCAAAAAATTAGAAATTCAGAAATTTCAATTTATGTAAGGGATTTGAACTTTTCAAGTGAGATCTGAGAGCCTTGAGAGTTTGAGAGGAGAGAGCCAGAGAACGAGAAGAGACTCAAGAGTCAAGAGAGAGCCAGAGAGAGATAGAGGAGAGAGAGAGAGGCGTGACTGCGTTTGAGATAGAGGAGTGTTTACTGTTTAGGGAATTAGGTCAATTAGGGTTTGAGAATTTTCTTTTTGCATATATTTTTTTTTAGAAAATTCGAGAAATAAAAAAGGAAAAACAAGTAAATTTCGGATATTTGGATCGGATATCCGAAATCCGATCCGGATTTTTCGGATATTCGGATATCCGACTTTTTTCGGATATCGGATATCCGAAATCCAAAAATGGGATATCCGATATCCGATCCGATATCCGAAAAATCTGAATCGGATATCCATAATTTTCGGATCGGATGCGGATCGGATCATCGGATTTTCGGATCTTCAGATAGTTTTGCTCAGCCCTAACTGACGCCTCACGCCTGACGGAGGAACCTTATACCGGCGACGGCGAGAACACGGACTGACGTAGCACGAAAAACCGGCCGGTGAACGGCGACAGGGCTGCTGCGGCTGGGGTCTAGGGATATCGATTTAGGCGAGTTTGAGACTTAGGGTTTTATAATTTGGAAGTGAGGTTGTAAAGCATAAAAAGAAAAAATTTATGAGTAATGGGATTTGAACCCACATCTCGTGTGTGGTGGGGTGTTAAAAAACCACTGGGCTGGAAGCTAAACTTCATGACATGTAGTTTTTTTTTATAATGGGATTTGAAGATAGGTTTCTTGTTACTCAGACGATTCGCCACTAGATGAAAAAGGTAATTTGGCACCGGTTCAAACCCCCCTAAAGCACCGGTTTTGAACCGTTGGGGATTTGAGAGATGCCAAATTCCTAAAAATTTGGCACCGGTTCGAAACCGGTGCCAACTAAAGGCATTGGCACCGGTTAACCGGTGCAAACTACAGGCTTTGGCACCGGTTAACCGGTGCAAACTAAAGGCTTTGGCACCGGTTAACCGGTGCCAACTTCAATGGCGCGAAATTTTTTTTTTTAATTATCAACACTATTGGCACCGGTTTTAAGCAAGAACTGGTGCCTCTAACTGGGTTTATATTTTTTTTTTCGGCAATATATTTTGGGATTGTTATCAATTTTTATGTATTGTTATTATTTCAATTATTAATATTAATATTATTATAATAATAATAATAATTATCAATATTATTATTATAATAATAATTATTATTAATAATTATTATTATTAATATTATTATAATAGTATCCCTAAAACCCCCTCCCTCGAAACCCTAGCCGCTAGGTTTTCGGGGGTGGGGGGAGGAGTGATTGGTGGTTTCGATGGTGGAGGATGGGTTTTTAAGGGGTTTCGTGGTGTGGTTGGAGGTGGGTGGGAAGAGGGTTGAAATACCGGTGATGGGGTCGTCGAACCCCGACTCTGGGAAATGAGCTGAGGTCGCCGACTCTGGTAAGGGGAGTTGGGATTCTGGTATCAAGGGGTTACGGAAGGGTAGGAGCGCCAGAGAAGGGGGAAGGATGGGGTAGCTGGTGGGGATTGTGGTGGGTTATTAATTTTTTTGTAAAAAAACTAATAATAAAAAATATTACGGTTTTTTCACCATATACTACAGAGTTTTTTGTTTATTCACCATGTACCCCTGAAAATTTTCAAATTCACCATATACCCTTGAGTTGTTACAAAAATTCACCAAATACCCCTAATGACAATAAGATGAGTGAAATTGGTTAATTATGCATCAAAACCACCTTAGATCTCTCCCCCCCATCCCCGAAACCACTCATCTCCTTTCTCCAACCACCGAAACCACTCCAAATCTCCATAACCATATCCGTATGATTACTTTTGAGGATGAGAAAAGGAAATTTGGGGTGGTTTTGGGGGTGAAAAAAAGGAATATGGGTGGTTTCGGGGGTAGGGGAATGTATTTAGGGTGGTTTCGGATCATAATTAACCCTAGAGACTCATGAAGTTATCAATCATTAGTTATCAAGGATATATGGTGTATTTATATGAAAACTCGGGGGTATATGATGAATTTAAAAAAGTTCAGGGGTATATGGTGAATAAACAAAAAAACTCAAGGGTATATGGTGAAAAAATCGTAAATATTATTTTGAATCTATTAAAAATTAAAAACAATAAATAGATGAAAAAATTCAAATTAAATTTCAAACCAATAAAATAAGGACACGTGTCCCATTTAACATGCTAACCAGGTTACTAACGAGTCATTACTTGTTTTATGCAAATACTACTTAAATGTTGTATTATTGAGAAATAATCAAAAGGTTGACTTGTTTTTAGCGAACAGCTCAAATGTTGTATTATTTTTGACAATTTTTCCTAAAACTAATTCCAAACAATTAAATCAAAAACCCAGAATCATTATGTATAGAACTAAACAAGTTAGTAGAAACAAAGGAGAAAGAAAAAGAGGGAGGTCACGGTGGGCCGGCTGCCGGTGGCAGGTCGCCGGCGTCAGGGAGGTGCGCTGGAGGTTGGGTGACAATGGTAGTGAGCAGCAGCTCACGTATGAAGGAGGGGAAAGAAAAGAAAAAGAAAGGAAAAAGGGAAATAGCAAAAAAAGAAAAAAAAAGGGAAAATGTTATGAAATAATAAGTGGATGACTATTATCCCATGTACTATCTAGAATATTTTAGAGTTGGGTATTTGATCTTATCCGATGATGGAACCCTAGATAATATACTCTCTCTATATTTCTCTTCCATATTTAACACGTTATCAGCACCATAGCCTACTAAACAAACCTACGAAGGAATTCAGCCATATTAATATTACCAACTTTGCAGTTCCTCGGCTAGAAAAGGTACCTTATCATCCTGTTCTATTTCTCCTAAATTATGAATTTTGAAGCTATAATAATAAACATGATATGATTGCCGCACATTTGTTGATTATTTCGTCATATTGTAATTATTCTTGATATATAATCATGTATGCAAATTGACTACCGATGATTCATATAAGATTTTTGATGCACAATCTGCCTAACTTGTATTGACTACTTGAGTGATATAACTTAATAGAGTCACTATTATCTAACTCGTATTCGTTTCATATGTATATTATTTATTTGGTTAATTGAATTGCTTAAATCTATGATTTTGGATCATGTCGCTTACTTTTGTGATTGATCAAATAAATGACATAATTATTGGCCTTATATATGTTTGTGTCATTACCTCATAGGATTTACTTTTGATCATTCGGGGCTATTTTGTCTCTTTATTTACTTTACAATTTCATAATCATATTATACATTCATGATCATATACCGTGTGTCATCATGTATGTATTTGATATCCACCGTACTTGCATGTGATTACTATATACTTTGTGTTAAATATATGTGTTAATATATTTTTATATATTATTGTTATGTACGCTAAGATTTATCTCTTTATAGTTAGGCTGCACACATGCTATTGATTGCTAGCTATAATCCTTAGATATAGGCACTTAGCATGTTTCGGTTATGTTTCGATTGTGTGTATATAAGCGCTTAGCATGTTTCAGTTGTTTGATTGCATACCTTTTATCAATTAACCCATAATTATCTTTTGTGATTGAAAAATAAATAGATAAATAAATAATATTATATTATATTATGTACCAATGCTTTACCCTGCTAACACAATTATATTACAAATTATATCTTTTAATTTACACTTCATTCACTGCCTTGTTGTTTGATAAAATATTTGTATAGTTGTATCAATTACACATTAATCTTGGGTTTGGTTTATTAATAATGAATCAACAAACTAGTCGGATTGGTTTATTTTAAGTCAAAGATTTTAATAGTAACTAAAGTTAGGCAAAGTATTAGTGTCAAGTATTACGTATAAATTTATTAATTTTCATGTCGAGTATTACGTATAACAGTAGGCTAAAGTTAGGCTTTCCATGTTTTGTTATGATAAGTTAGGCAAGTACGTAGATATTACATATAAATTTATCAATTAAGGTTTCATGTTTTGTTATGATAATTGATTAGTGGACTTAATTGTGGTCTCATAAACAGTAACCTTCTCAAGGTTCAATACGCAAATCTTGTTATAATTAATTACTTGATATTAGTTGTCTTAATTGAAACTTGGAATATATATATTTATTATATCATCTTAGTTCCTAATTTAAAATATTGTTTTATATATCAGTGAATCATGTCAAACCTTGCAAAACTCGAATTTGTTGCTCTTGATATTACTGGAAACAACTATCTGTCTTGGGTGTTAGATGCTAAAATACATCTAGATGCAAAAGGACTTGGTAATACTATCAAAGAAAATAATACAACAAGCCAAGACAAGGCTAAAGCTATATATTCCTTCGCCATCACCTTCACGAAGGCCTTAAGACTGAGTATTTGACTGAGTAATCTAAGGAAAAGGTATGACCACCAGAAAACTCTGATATTACCAAAAGCTCTTTATGATTGGTTACATTTAAGATTATAAGACTTTAAGTCTGTGAGTGAATACAACTCAGCCATGTTTAGAATTACATCACAATTGAAATTATGTGGAGAGAAAATCACGGATGCAAAAATGGTAGAAAAAACATACTCTACTTTTCATGCAAACAATGTTGTTCTGCAGACACAATACCGTGAAAAGGGTTTCAAAAAATATTCTAAATTGATATCTTGTCTCCTTGAGCAAAATGAACTATTAATGAAAAATCACGAATCACGCCTAACTGACTCTACTTCATTCCCTGAAGTGAATGCGACATCCCATAATGGGAAAGAGAAAAAGGCTAGAGACCACGCCAGCAGTCATGGTCGGGTGGCCGTGGTCAAGGCCGTGGATATGGTCGTGGTCGAGGTGGTCATTTTAGGAATTCATACTCTCACTAGAGGTGGGACAATAAAGATGGAAATAAGAATGAGAAGGATAAAAATGAAAATATATGCTACCATTGTGGAGTAAAAGGCCATTGGTCTCGTGTGTGTCGCACACTAAAACATCTTGTAGACCCTTATCAACAATCGATCAAACAGAAAGGAAAGAAAGTGGAAACACAATTTGGTGTACGAGGATGGCGAAGGTGATTTTGACTACGATGATACAACTCACCTGGAAGCGGTTGATTTATTTACCACTTCTGAAGAAAATAATTGAATAAATTATGATCCCCCATTGGTGAATAAACTCTATTAGCTTGCATTTATTTAATTATAGAATTTTATCGTAGTATTATGACTTTAT